TAGATCAGGTGTTTACATTGAAGCATATATGTGAACAGTATTTAGATAAAGATAGGGAAGTTTTTATTGCATTTATGGATTTAGAAAAGGCATATGATAGAGTGGATAGAGGAGCAATGTGGCAGATGTTGCAAGTATATGGAATAGGTGGTAAGTTATTAAATGCTGTAAAGAGTTTTTGTGAGGATAGTGAGGCTCAGGTTGGGGTGTGTAGAAGAGAGGGAGACTACTTCCCGGTAAAGGTGGGTCTTGGGCGGGGATGTGTAATGTCACCATGGTTGTTTAATATATTTATAGATGGGGTTGTGAAGGAGGTGAGTGCTGGGGTGTTTGGGAGAGGGGTGGGATTGAATTATGGGGAATCAAATTCAAAATGGGAATTGACACAGTTGCTTTTTGCTGATGATACTGTGCTTGTGGGAGATTCTAAAGAGGAATTGCAAAGGTTAGTGGATGAGTTTGGGAATGTGTGTAAAGGTAGAAAGTTGAAAGTGAACATGGAAGGGAGTAAGGTGGTGAGGGTGTCAAATGGTTTAGATAAAGAGGAGTTGGATATCAAATTGGGGAGGAGGAGTATGGAAGAAGTGAATGTTTTCAGATACTTGGGAGTTGACGTGTCGGCGGATGGATTTGTGAAGGATGAGGTTGATCATAGAATTGATGAGGGAAAAAAGGTGAGTGGTGCGTTGAGGTATGTGTGGAGTCAAAAAACGTTATCTATGGAGGCAAAGAAGGGAGTGTATGAAAGTATAGTAGTACCAACACTCTTGTATGGGTGTGAAGCTTGGGTGGTGAATGCAGCAGCGAGGAGACGGTTGGAGGCAGCGGAGATGTCCTGTTTGGGGGCAATGTGTGGTGTAAATATTATGCAGAAGGTTCGGAGTGTGGAAGTTAGGAGAGGGTGTGGAGTTGATGAAAGTATTAGTCAGAGGGCGGAGGAGGGGTTGTTGAGGTGGTTTGGTCATTTGGAGAGAGTGGATCACAGTAGAATGACATGGAAAGCATATAAATCTGTAGGGGAGGGAAGGCGGGGTGGGGGTCGTCCTCGAAAGGGTTGGAGAGAGGGGGTAAGGGAGGTTTTGTGGGTGGGGGGCTTGGACTTCCAGCAAGCGTGCGTGAGCGTGTTGGATGGGAGTGAATGGGGACGAATGGTACTTGGGACCTGACGATCTGTTGGAGTGTGAGCAGGGTAATGTTTGGTGAAGGGATTCGGGGAAGCCGGTTATTTTCATATAGTCGGACTTGAGTCCTGGAAATGGGAAGTACAATGCCTGCACTTTAAAGGAGGGGTTTGGGATATTGGCAGTTTGGAGGGATATGTTGTGTATCTTTATATGTTTATGCTTCTAGACTGTTGTATTCTGAGCACCTCTGCAAAAACAGTGATAGTGTGCGAGTGTGGTGAAAGTGTTGAATGATGATGAAAGTATTTTCTTTTTGGGGATTTTCTTTCTTTTTTGGGTCACCCTGCCTCGGTGGGAGACGGCCGACTTGTTGAAAAAAAAAAAAAAAAAAAAAATTCAGGGAAACCAGTTATTTTTATATAGCTGGACTTGAGTTCTGGAAATGGGAAGTACAATGCCTGCACTTTACAGGAGGGGTTTGGGATAAAGTGGAACCTCTACTTGCGAGCGTGTCCATGTGCGAGTTTTTCCAAATACGAGCAGTCGATTGTCGATTTTTTGCTTCCATATGTGAGCAAAATTTCCACAAGTGAGCAGACCTCAAGGCAGTTCCTTGATACTGGTGAGGAGCTCTTGCTCTTGATCTCGGGAATTGTATCTCATTTGTTTGTTGGACTATCTTATTGAAACTTGGGCAATGTATGATGGAAAGATTCTTCTTAACGTACACCAAAAATGAAAGAAATTTAAGCATAAATAATGGAGTTCAATTCTCAGCAATTAGCCACCCCTTAGCGGTAATTTCGAATGGTCTTTATGGTTGTATTCTTGTTTTCTTTGGTCTCATTTGATAGAATGGACGATATATTACAGAAATAGATATGATTTTGATTGCTTTCAACCTAGGAGAAATGGTCCACTGCTTGGCTGTTTCAGAGTAAACAAATGACGTCACTGTCCATTCCAATATGCAGTCGTGAATGGGTTGACATTATTTATACAATTATTGCAATAAGGAATAACAGTAAATCTTATATTTTTTGTGTAAATAAAAATTACAAATTATTTATATAATAATAATAATAAGTATAATAATAATACGTATAATAATAATAGTACAGTGGACCCCCGCATAACGATTACCTCCGAATGCGACCAATTATGTAAGTGTATTTATGTAAGTGCGTTTGTACGTGTATGTTTGGGGGTCTGAAATGGACTAATCTACTTCACAATATTTCTTATGGGAACAAATTCGGTCAGTACTGGCACCTCAACATACTTCTGGAGTGAAAAAATATCGTTAACCGGGGGTCCACTGTATAATAATAATAGTATAATAATATAATATAATAATAATAATAATAATATAATATGAATAATAATATATATAATAATAATGTACTACATATAATAATTATAATAACAGACAGCTTCAAAAGGCCATCACTAGATGGCAGTGTTCACCACGACAACGAGGAAGCGGTTGTGGCCACCTCCACCTGTTAAATAATGACATATTTTATTCATTTTGGAGTATATATCATGTTTCTATGTTATTTATATTGTTTATATCATATTAGATAGACTGTGATATATAAATAAGCCGTATAGATGATATTAGCGAAATTATTCATGAAGTAGTTTGCCTGGTCTCCAGACAAACTCTCATCCACCGCCGATACCGCCCATACCACTACATGAATGACATATTTTATTCATTTTAGAGTATACATCAGGTTTATATGTTATTTATATTGTTTATTAAGTCATATTAGATGAAGTAAGATAGATAAATAAGCCGTAGAGTTGATATTAGCGAAATTATTGAAGTACAGAATTCCACTGGAATGGATTAATTGCATTTCAATTAATTTAAATGAGGAAAATTGACTCTGCAAACGAGCAAATCCAGTTGCGAGCAAGGTCATGGAACAGATTAGACTCGCAAGTAGAGGTTCCACTGTACTGGCAGTTTGGTGGGATGTGTAATAGGACGGTATATATATAATTGGGGTCCTGATATTGTAATTATTTCAGGTCACTTTTATAATGTATCTGTATATATGCTTCCAAACTGTTGTATCTGGGCACCTCTGCAAAAACAGTGATTATGCATGAGTGAGGTGAAAGTGTTGAATGACGATGGGAGATGGCCAACTTGTTGAAAGAAAAAAAGAAAAATTATTAATCATTACAATATTATTATTCTTTCAACAAACCAGCTGTATCCCACCAAGGCAGGGTGGCCCAAAAAGAAAAGCAAGTTTCTCTTTTTAAATTTAGTAATTTATGCAAGAGAAGGGGTTACTAGCCCCATGCTCCCATTTATGATGGAGTGAATGATGGTGAAAGTTTTTCTTTTTCGGGCCACCCTGCCTTGGTGGGAATCGGCCAGTGTGATAATAAAAAAAAATAAAAAATATTATAAATGCACAAGCCTTGCTAAAATAATAATTACTATTAGGACAAACCATACCACGGGTGGAGTTTGAACCTGCAGTCAGAGTCTCAAACCCCACCCATGGTACGGTTTGTTTGCAATCGTGTCATTACGATTTTGTGAGTCATACTATTAGGACAGTTTCCAGTGATTGTTCCACTGGCATTTTCTTTATACTGCATTATACTGTACAATACATGTATTATAATAAAACAATGGTACCTTGAGTTTCGAACACCTCCCAACTTGAACAATTATGTAAATGTATTTTTGTAAGTGCTTTCGTAAGTGTATTTTTGGGGGTCTGAAACAGACTAATCTAATTTATATTATGTATTCCTTATGGGGACAAATTCGTTCGGTATCGGCACTCAAACAGTCTTCTAGAACAAATTAAGTTCATAACTTGAGGTACCACTGTACCTGTAAATGTTCTTGGTAGTAGGTTGGTAGACAGCAACTGCCTAGGGAGGTACTACCGTCCTGGCAAGTGAGTGTAAAACGAAAGCCTGTAATTGTTTTACATGAGGGTCGAATTGCTGGTGTCCTTTTTTCTGTCTCATTCATGCAAGATTTCAGGTACATTTTGCTACTTCTACTTACATTTAGGTCACACTACACATACATGTACAAGCATATATATACACACCCCTCTGGGTTTTCTTCTATTTTCTTTCTAGTTCTTATTCTTGTTTATTTCCTCTTATCTCCATGGGGAAGTGGAACAGAATTCTTCCTCTGTAAGCCACGCGTGTTTAAGAGACGACTAAAATGCTGCAAGCAAGGGGCTAGTAACCTCTTCTCCTGTATGTATTACTAAATGTAAAAGGAGAAACTTTTGTTTTTCCTTTTGGGCCACCCCGCCTCGGTGGGATACGGCCGGTGTGTTGAAAGAAAGAAAGAATAGGTTGGTAGACAGCAACTGCTCAGGAAGGTACTACCATCCTACCAAGTGAGTGTGAAACAGAAGCCTGTAATTGTTTTACACTATGGTTGGACTGCTGGTGTCTTTTTTCTGTCTCATAAACATGCAAGAGTTCAGGTACATCTTGTTTCTTCTACTTACACTTAGGTCATACTACACATGCATGTATATACATATATATACATACCCCTCTGGGTTTTCTTTTAATTTTCTTACTAGTTCTTGTTTATTTTCACTTATCTCATGGAGAAATGGAAAAGAATTCTCCCTCCATAAGCCATGCGTGTCATAAAAGGCAACTAAAATGCCGAGAGCAAGGGGCTAGTAACCCCTTCTCCTACATTTAGAGTATTACTAAATTTAAAAGGTGAAACTTTAATTTTAACTTTTGGGCCACCCTGCCTCAGTGGGATACAGCCGGTCTGTTGAAAGATGAAGAAGACCTGTAAATGTATGCTCATGAGTAATTTTTTATCTGTTATAAATATAAATATAATGACATGCCTACCGACTTCCAATCCACACTAGGTTCTGCTGTCCATAGCTCTCTGACAGTGAAGAGCAATTCTAATGTTTCATTGGTGCTCCAACCACCAGCTTCACTGACCCACCATACATCTGAAGATAAAATTATTGTTACTCTCAATACCCTAACATTTTCACATTATACAGTAATACTATATTATGGTTCAACATTTACAGGTTCACATTAACCCCTCAGAGATATTACATAGTCATTATTTACTGGTTTCTACTAAATCATGCACCTTCATCAATTCATTCTTCAGTCCCTCTCTTTTACATTATTAACTTTGTAATGGTACAGATAAACATACTACCCTTATCTAGGTCTCAAACAAAGAGTCATTCCTACAAATTTACATTTTACTAAAGAGCCTTGCTTATCCCAGGGTTTACTGGCAATACCTATTTTTCAGGCTTGTAGCCAGATCCCAAAGTTGAAAACTAAAAAGAATTCATTGAAACTGTGTTTAATGTATCAAAAGAAGACAAATGAAGACCTATATACATATTCATTCAAGTGCTCTTATGGAACAGAACCTGTGAAACATATCACAAGTTATTTTAGCCAAACTAATATAGTGCCTATTTACAAACCTCGAGTATCAAATTCAGCATCACAGGACCCCACAGGAGAGACAACAGTGTGTAAAAGGTCTCGATTTTTTTTATTTTCATACCATGTTGGGGTTGTGACTTTAGTTGCTTCAGATAGTTCAAACTCTGCATACTCATGACACAACTGTTGATGGAAATATTTATAATATATAAATTTATAGGTCTTGCAGTGGTATGAAATGTCCAAAATGGATGAATATGATTTTAAAGGAAAATTACATTAGTCAATATAAAAAAATTGGTAGCTTAACCTTTTCAGTGGCCATCCCACAGAACTACATCACTGAGGCCAGGATCCTTGGCCTCAATGACATGGTTCCTGTGCTCAGGTCACTCATATAAGTTGAGAGCGGTAAATTTTGGCCTAGATATGAGAGAATGGGTCAGTGTGGTGAGTGAGCACGGTCTAAAATAAGAAATCCTGTCCCACACAGCACAAGGATGTCAGGAAGTATATCTTCAGTCTCAGGGGAATTGGGAAGGAAAATGACCTTGATGACGTGGTAGAGGCAGTTTCCATACATAGTTTTAAGAAAAGGTACTGTAGGGCTCACAAGACTAGGAGCAAATCTGGCATGTGACAAGTTGAGATGAGTACAGCTATTAAATGAATGATGGTGAATGTGTTTCCTCCTTTTTGGGCCAGCCTACCTTAATGTGAAACAGCTGGTGTTAAAAAAAATTAAGGTGAAATATAGCTACTAAGCATGGTTCTGCCCTTGATGCATTGAAGTAAGAATTTACTGCAACAGTTTACTGTCCAGTTCAACTCCCTACATTTTTACTTAAAAATTCAATCTTAAACCCTCAATCTATATTCCAGTATATGCAGTAACTGTACAGTATTTTGTCTGTTTTGGTGCAAAATTTTTTTAATGACCCTTTTAACTGGACTTCATCCTGGACACCAAGTGAGAGGATACCTGTGCTGTATTGATACCATATAAGACTATGTAAGGATCACTCACATCAACGAAGAATCGCTGACAAACATCAGGGCATTTCTTGATTCGCCGGCTTAATTTGTATGCTACTTCATTCCAGAGAGGTTGACCACCTGCTCTAACAGCTTCCACTTCATTATTATCATGACACAATAGCTGCCATTCCTTCACAGTATCCAGCATAATGCATATATTATCACTTGTCCACTGTATGGAACCAGATTCTATATGAAATGAATAAAAACATGAAAGTTAATAAAGTATACAAGAATTGCTGTACATTATTTAAGCAATTAAAATTAGTGAGAAATCTTATAATCAGCTTTTCATGCAATTTTTAACGAGCTTTACATTCTACTTTTACTTACTAGGTGGCAGTTGTTTCTTTATCTTAGCTTCTCTAACAGTTTCCCGCTGTGATTCTTGATGTATGCTTTGCAGTCCGTTTTCTGTAAGAATACTATATCAATATAATTCTAAATGCTTATTAGAATCATTAAACTAATTTTTTTTTTTTAACAAGTTGGCCATCTCCCACTGAGGCAGGGTGACCCAAAAAGAAAGAAAATCCCCAAAAAGAAAATACATGTACTTTCATCATCATCATTTAACACTTTCACCTCACTCACACATAATCACTGTTTTTGCAGAGGTGCTCAAAACAACAGTTTAGAAGCATATACATATAAAGATACACAACATATCCCTCCAAACTGCCAATATCCCGAACCCCTCCTTTAGAGTGCAGGCATTGTACTTCCCATTTCCAAGACTCAAGTCCGACTATATGAAAATAACTGGTTTCCCTGAATCCCTTCACTAAATATTACCCTGCTCACACTCTAACAGATCGTCAGGCCCCAATACCATTCATCTCCATTCACTCCTATCAAACACGCTCACGCACGCCTGCTGGAAGTCCAAGCCCCTCACCCACAAAACCTCCCTTACTCCTTCCTTCCAACCTTTTTGAGGATGACCCCTACCCCGCCTTCCTTCCCCTATAGATTTAAACGCTCTCCATGTCATTCTACTTTGATCCATTCTCTCTAAATGACTAAACCACCTCAACAACCCCTCTTCAGCCCTCTGACTAATACTTTTATTAACTCCACACCTTCTCCTAATTTCCACACTCCGAATTTTCTGCATAATATTTACACCACACATTGCCCTTAGACAGGACATCTCCACTGCCTCCAACCGCCTCCTAGCTGCTGCATTCACAACGCAAGCTTCACACCCATATAAGAGTGTTGGTACTACTATACTTTCATACATTCCCTTCTTTGCCTCCATAGATAACGTTTTTTGTCTCCACATATACCTCAACGCACCACTCACCTTTTTCCCTCATCAAGTCTATGATTAGCCTCATCCTTCATAAATCCATCAGCCGACATGTCAACTCCCAAGTATCTGAAAACATTCACTTCTTCCATACTCCTCCTCCCCAATTTGATATCCAATTTTTCTTTATCTAAATCATTTGATACCCTCATCACCTTACTCTTTTCTGTGTTCACTTTCAACTTTCTACCTTTACACACAGTTAATAAATGGTGCCAGGAAGAAAAAAACTGGCAGGAAATGGCAGAAATCGTACACCAAATCCAGTCATTCCTGGAGTGGAACCACAGTCGATGGCCTCCACTCCAAACCAACAGATACAGATACTAATGCCGGAAAAAAATCCCCCCCCAGTACCAACAATACCACCAGTCCGATGACATTCTTCTTTGCAAATATACAGGGTATAAAGCCAGCAACAAACAACAAAATACCTTTCATCCGTGGACTGCTTGCAGAGGCAAAGGCAATGTTCGCGGCTTTCACTGAGACCCACATAAAGGATCACTTGGACAACGAAATATGGATCCCAGGTTACAACCTATACAGATGTGACAGAGTGAACAGGCAAAAGGGGGAAGGGGTTGGCCTGTACATTGCAGAGTCACTTGTTTGCACAGAACTGCTTAATGCCTCAAATGATGTAGTGGAAGTTTTAGCAGTAAAGGTCGAGAACCAAAACCTAGTCATTGTGGTAGTCTACAAGCCTCTGTATGCAACATCCCAGCAATTCCAGGAACAGCTGTTAAAAATTGACCACTGTCTGGAAAATCTTCCAGCTCTTGCACCCAACATCTTGCTCCTGGGGGATTTCAACTTAAGGCACCTAAAATGGAGGAATATAGCAAATAATATTGTTGCAGTAATAACACCAGGAGGCAGCTCTGATGAAAACTCACACTCACATGAGCTTTTAAATCTCTGCACAAAATTCAATTTAAACCAGCAAATAATAGAGCCTACTAGACTGGAGAATACAGTAGACCTCATCTTCACAAACAATGATGATCTGATAAGAAATGTCACCATATCAAAAACAATATACTCAGATCACAACATAATTGAGGTTCAGACATGTATGCGTGGAGCCCCAGACCGACATAATGAGACTAGTCACGAGGGAGCATTCACCAAATTCAACTTCAATAACAAAAACATAAAGTAGGACCAAGTAAACCAAGTCCTAACCGATATAAGCTGGGAAGATATACTAAGCAACACAGACCCCAACTTATGCCTAGAACAGATTAACTTGGTGGCACTCGATGTATGCACAAGGCTTATTCCTCTAAGAAAAAGGAGGAGTAGATGTAAAATAGAAAAAGACAGGCGCTCCCTTTACAGGCGACGGAAAAGAATAACAGAGTGGCTAAAAGAGGTCAATATATCTGAAATGCGTAGGGAGACACTGGTCAAAGAAATAGCAAGCATCGAACTTAAGCTAAAGGAATCTTATAGGAGTCAGGAATCGCGGGAAGAACTAAAAGCCATAAATGAAATCGAAAGAAACCCAAAGTATAAGGCGATAAATGACATGCCCATGCACTCTGCCCCAGGGCCAGACTCATGGAACTCCGTGTTCATCAAGAACTGCAAGAAGCCCCTATCACGAGCCTTTTCCATCCTATGGAGAGGGAGCATGGACACGGGGGTCGTCCCACAGTTACTAAAAACAACAGACATAGCCCCACTCCACAAAGGGGGCAGTAAAGCAACAGCAAAGAACTACAGACCAATAGCACTAACATCCCATATCATAAAAATCTTTGAAAGGGTCCTAAGAAGCAAGATCACCACCCATCTAGAAACCCATCAGTTACACAACCCAGGGCAACATGGGTTTAGAACAGGTCGCTCCTGCCTGTCTCAACTATTGGATCACTACGACAAGGTCCTAAATGCACTAGAAGACAAAAAGAATGCAGATGTAATATATACAGACTTTGCAAAAGCCTTCGACAAGTGTGACCATGGCGTAATAGCGCACAAAATGCGTGCTAAAGGAATAACAGGAAAAGTCAGTCGATGGATCTATAATTTTCTCACTAACAGAACACAGAGAGTAGTCGTCAACAGAGTAAAGTCTGAGGCAGCTACGGTGAAAAGCTCTGTTCCACAAGGCACAGTACTCACTCCCATCTTGTTCCTCATCCTCATATCCGACATAGACAAGGATGTTAGCCACAGCACCGTGTCTTCCTGTGCAGATGACACCCGAATCTGCATGACAGTGTCTTCCATTGCAGACACTGCAAGGCTCCAGGCGGACATCAACCAAATCTTTCAGTGGGCTGCAGAAAACAATATGAAGTTCAACGATGAGAAATTTCAATTACTCAGATATGGTAAACACGAGGAAATTAAATCTTCATCAGATTACAAAACAAATTCTCACCTTCAAGGACCATAACATTGTATCAATCGCATCTGCTAGAAAAATGACAGGATGGATAATGAGAACCTTCAAAACTAGGGAGGTCAAGCCCATGATGACACTCTTCAGGTCACTTGTTCTATCTAGGCTGCAATATTGCTGCACACTAACAGCACCTTTCAAGGCAGGTGAAATTGCTGACCTAGAAAATGTACAGAGAACCTTCACGGCGCGCATAACGGAGATAAAACACCTCAATTACTGGGAGCGCTTGAGGTTCCTAAAACTGTATTCCCTGGAATGCAGGCGGGAGAGATACATGATTATATACACCTGGAAAATCCTAGAGGGACTAGTACCGAACTTGCACACGAAAATCACTCACTACGAAAGCAAAAGACTTGGCAGACGATGCAACATCCCCCCAATGAAAAGCAGGGGTGTCATTAGCATGTTAAGAGACCATACAATAAGTGTCAGGGGCCCGAGACTGTTCAACTGCCTCCCAGCATACATAAGGGGGATTACCAACAGACCCCTGGCAGTCTTCAAGCTGGCACTGGACAAGCACCTAAAGCCGGTTCCTGACCAGCCAGGCTGTGGCTCGTACGTTGGTTTGTGTGCAGCCAGCAGCAACAGCCTGGTTGATCAGGCTCTGATCCACCAGGAGGCCTGGTCACAGACCAGGCCGCAGGGGCGTTGACCCCCAGAACTCTCTCCAGGTAAACTCCAGGTGTATGTAGGATACAGACACAGCATATCATTTGGAAGGGAAACAACTCCAGGTTTCAGCTAAAGAACCTGGGGCAAGACCATACCAAATCTATCTCCTGCACTGAACATAAATGGGATAACTTCAGCACTGTAAGCATGGCTGGCATACATAGCAAATACTTTTCAACAAAAAATCTTCTATGACAGGAAATCGAAATAACACAATTGTAAACAAGTTACAGGACAGGTGGGGCTTGAACCTGTGGCAAGTGAGTCCTAAAACTTGCAGGCCAGTGTGCTAACCACTGAACCATCTGGCTCTAATAGGATTCATCTAGTTGGGTGAATCCTATTAGATCCAACTGGTTCAGTGGTAAGCACACTGCCCTGTGAGTTTAAGGTCTCATCTCCCATGGGTTTGAGCCCTTCCTGTTCTGTAATTTGAAAAGAATCTTCTAAAATATTGTATACATTGCAATGTCTGTCCTCCAGTATACAATACCAAGATGGGGATTTTCCCTAATCAGGTACATAATCAGAACTGCTTGAGATTGTCAGAAGGCAATCACCAGATTGGTCACAAAACTAATGGATGCAACTTATGACTAAAAAGATACCAGAGCGTAGCCTGATTTAATCCAACATACAGAACAAAAATACTCGAGGGTACTGGCAAGGTGAACAAAGAAAGACTAATATGGAAGACAGCAGAACCAGGAGACATAGAAGGAAGTCGAAAGCCATGGTAACCCAAGAATGTATAAAAATCCTAAATGTTGTATCTGTGAGCCTCTGGCAAGACAGCAATAGTGTGAATGATGGTGAAAGTGTTTCTGTTTCAGGTCACCCTGCCTCTGTGGGAGATGGCCAGTGTGTTGAAAAGAAAGCATAGTAAAAGAATGAAATTGCTATGGTTAAGAATGAGACCACATCACTACTGAGATTCCAAAGAATATACAACAGATCCCAAGAACCTAGGAATCAATTACACTAACTGACTGATAGTCAAGAGGCAAAGAAGCTGGAGTTCAACCTCTGCCTGTATAGCTAGGTAAATACACAGAGGGACAGAAAGGCTATGTATAAGACATAAAAATCTCAGAACATATATGTGATATATATAAATCTCCTGCAAGACCAGGACCCACACGTTACTGAATTCACAAACACAATGAGTAACTGTATGTTGCTACCAACAGTAACAAAACCTACAAGAGTTACAGAGACTAGTGTTTCCCTACTTGACCACATCTGGACCAACACCATATCCCCTTTAAAATCAGGCATAATTACAGATAATACCACAGACCACTACCCTATTTTCCCCTCATACAACTCTTGGAAATTCCCCCAAGACACTACTAAAGTCCCTTTCAACTTCAAAATGAGGCAGCTTTAAATAATTACAACGCATTAGCAAACATTGATTGGCCACTGAGCGAAAAATACAGATATTGAAAATGTTTTTAAAAATTTTCAAAAAAAGACCAATACCTTTAACAAGACTGCCCAAAAAAAAACTAAGCAGATGACAGCAAAGAGTGAAAAGTCCCTGGTAACCCCAGCTTCTAAATCCAAAAATACAAAAAACACCAATATGAAAAAAGACAGAATGGGTCCAAAACCCAGAGACCAAAAAAAAACGTTACTCGCAACCTAACCAGCCGATAAAAGGGGGAAAAAAATTGTATTATGAGAACAGATTATCCAACTTACGAGGGATATAAAAAAGACCGGAAAAACCCATCAGAAATTCTGGGAAAAAAAAGATATCACGAAAAAAGCGAAAAAAAATTAGCAAAATCAGATAACCCCCAATCCCACCCAAAGAAACAGCAAAAAACTCAATGTTTTTTCTCCCCATAGGACAAAACCCTTTCCAAAAAAATCCCCCAAACTCGATACCCCCCCAAATGACTACCTCACCGGCAATACCGAACACATTTCCCAGTCCCACTAACCCATACGAAGTCCCCTTATTACAAGCCTAAAAAACAAAGGGAGGAGTTTAAATCCTTACCACCCTTTATATAAAAAAAAATGTCACAAGTGTTCACAAACTTGCAAATCTTTAACAAAACCTTAAACCTCCCCCTTCCCTAAGTCTCAAAAGCAAGGGTCACCCCCATCCCAAAGGAGGAGACCAAAAGGTTGAAAAACTTAGGCCATATCCAAATTACACCCTCCCAAAAATCTTCGAAAATTAATTATAACGAATTACTCCTATTATCTCCAAAACATACTCAACCCCCGCCAATTTTGGGTTCAGGCCTAATAAAAATCTAAAGATGCTATTATACACATGCTAAACATATATACACGCAAATTTGAGAAAAAAAAAAGTCCCTGGGGATCTTTATTGACTTTGTAAGCTTTTGAACAGTTGACCATGCTTTCCACGTAAAATTTTCAACTATGGTTAAGAGGGGACCCCCAAAAAACCTCAAGTCATACCTCGCAACAGAAGCCAATATGTGTACGCAAAAGGGCAAACCTTCTGCACAACCCAAATTCGTTGGGGCCCCCCCGGGAAGTGTCCTTGGCCCTCTTTTTCTTTTCCTATAATAAAGACCCACCAAATACTTCCAATTATCAAACCCAACTATTTTTGATGACAAAAACTACGTCTTCTCCCACCCCAGCCCAGTCACGCTAGCCCCAATACTGTAAAAACCGAATTACAGAAATATCTACCTGGATGATGTACTAACAAACTTACACTAAACATTGACAAAACCTACTTCATTCAGTTGGTAACAGAGCTACAGATGTCCCTCTTAACATAATGATAAACGGATCACCTATCACAAAGCTAACAGAGGGAAAATTCTTAGGAATCACCTTGATAATAGACTCAAATTTCATACACATATACAACAAATTTCTAAGAAAATTTCCAAGACTGTAGGCATACTATCGAAGATACGGTACTATGCTCCACAGTCAGCCCTCCTGGCCCTATATCACTCTCTTATTTACCCCTATCTCACCTATGGAATTTGTGCATGGGGCTCAACAACAAGTAACCATCTCAGACCACTAATTACCCAACAAAAGGCTGCAGTTAGAATGATAACAAATTCTCACTACAGGCAGCACACTCCACCAATATTCAATACACTCAAACTACTCACCATACAAAACATCCATACTTATTACTGCACCTATTACATACATAGAACACTCAACTCTGATATTAACCCTCCCTCAAACATCTCCTTGCCAACCTCAACAGAACACATGACCATAACACAAGGCACAGATCACTCTTTGATATTCCTCGTGTCCATCTCACGCTATGCAAAAACTCAATGCACATAAAAGGCCCTAAAATCTGGAATTCATTACCTGTTAATATAAAAGAAACACTACCTGTTTATAAATTCAAGTCTCTTCTCAAAGATCACTTACTCACCCAAAACCAAATAAATACTGAATAACTGAACCTTATAAATTGTATATCTTAAATGTTTCTCACAATTATATCACAAAACCTAAAACCCAATCTAACTTTATTATTTTTTAAATTCACTACCTAACAGAATACTCCATTCTACTGAATTTACAACAATGCATGCAACCATATGACCTGTCTTTGTAATACTCACTTGTGCTTTATAGTAATCAGTTTACATTAATGTTTTTCACTGATTTCATCATTGCTTAGTTAATCTTAAGTTAATTTTAAGCCAGCCCGTAATGCTATGCATAGTATAAGTGGCTTTGGCATGCTGCTCTTATCTGTATTTTTTTTGTACCTCTGTAAGTGTGCTCAAATTATAAATAAATAAATAAATAAATAAATAAATGATGGCAGGAAAACCAGCAATCCCACAACGATGCAACAAAGGATGCTAATTTTTTTTTTAACACGTCAACTATTTCCCACCAAGGCAGGGTGACCCACAAGAAAGAATAAACTTTCATCATCATTCAACACTTTCACCATCACTCATACATAATCACTGCCTTTGCAGAGGCGCTCAGATACGACACTTTAGATGTCCCTCCAAGCTGCAAACAGGATGCTAATGTTACAATAAAAATAACAAATTCAATGGAGCAAATCTAAATTAATCAAGATATAGTGAGACTCATGTTAGGGTATACAGGAAAGAGAGAGAGAGAGAGACATTAATTTTCAATAATAGTAAGGTTCAGAAAGGGATATGCGATGTCACCATGGTTGTTAACATATTTATAGATGCAGCCGAAAAAGAAGTAAATACGTACTAGGATGTTGGGGAGAGGTGTGGGATTAAATTAAAAAGAGACATAACCTAACACAAAATGGGAGTTGTTACAGTTGCTTTATGCTGATGACACTACTTTTGGGAGATTCTGAAGAGAAGCTGAACAGTTTGGTGGATAAATTTTGAGATGTAAAAGAAGGAAATTAAAAGTGAATATAGAAGAAGCAAGGTGATGAAGGTAACAAATAATTTAGGTAATGAAAGACTGGATACCAGATTGGAAGGAGGGAGTATGGAGTATACCTGGAGCAGCAGTGAATGTGAATGTTCAGCCTATGCTGCTAAAATATTTTAAACAGCAATAGCAATAATGATGCTTTCATCATATCATCAGGTACGACATTTAATAATTTTTGTAGATTTTAAATTTTACTTTCTATAATTACTGTATTACATACTTTGTTTGTAATAAACTTAAATCAGAAATACATTTTTCTTATTCTCTGCTGTTATATTATCTTAATACTAAATAGATAAAAAACTTATGTTTAAAAATTTTCGTTGCATATTTCCATTGGGTTGGAACCAATTACTATATTTTACACATAACTTTGAATAATGTGATCATTTCATGGGATTCATTTGGACTAATTAAAACCTAGTTGTAATTCACTAGCTAAAGCTGAAATGCAGGACCTTAGGATTTTAAGATACATCACAGGATGAGCAGCTTAAGCTAGGGACAAAAGACACGGAGTACACAGTAAGACAAAAAAGGTGAAATTGTAAAAACTGGATGATGGACATTTCCATATTTAAAATAATAAGAATTCAAATAAATGATACAAATTAAATGGACTAAGATTGGCAGAAAATCATGCCTGGCTTACAAGAACCAAATGAAGACACAGGGAGAACAGTGAAAACTAAAAATCAACAAGGAAATAGGATGATCACTAAGGAAAATGAATATGCATTTGACATCAAGCCCCTTAACTAGAAATTAAGCATAAGGTTTCATTCAGATGATGCTCATTGGACTCCCATGCTCAAATCTGTTTTCCTTATGGTTATCCTATATTTTGAACATAATAATAACCAGACTAAAGAAATATGGCTTCTGACAACATAAAATGATCCCAGATTTGAAAAAAAAAAAATTAATGGTTAGCCAGAGTTGAGTGCTCCAGTGAATGAGGTAGTAGAGTGACTTCACTATTGAAGGAGAGGTGAGAATGTTGCAGGCTGGTATGAATTCTGCACACTTATGGCAAGGCAGCTATTGAATGAATGATGGTCATCCTACCTGCTTGAGTGGCCAGTGTGTTAAGTCTTTGCTTTATCACCAAGAGACTTACAAATGCTGACCCATGAATCTTTTTTTTTGTTTGTTTGTTTTTTTAGTATAAATTTATAAAATTTACTAAAAAATTATTTCAAAATATTTTACATACTCTTAAAGCTAAAAATGAAAACAATGAAGAATGATATGATGGAGAATGAAGAATCAGTATACATTAGTCATAAAAAAATTTAGCAGGCCAAAAAGTTATAATGATGAAAGTTTTTTAAATTTTAAAATTAGCCTCTATTGGAGCAAAATTTGATATATCAACTTTCCTCCTTTAATGGAGGAACCTTTCTGATATTTACTTGTATACTGTCTATCAAAAAGGTTTATGATATAGTGTATATCAATCTAAGTTACAGTTATTAAATACGTACAATTCTGAAGTAGTTTAAACTTACGTGAGATTAAGGTCAAAATATCCATGTACGGAAGTAAGACTGAGGTAATCTTTCCTGAGTCTATACAGGCATCTTGTGTAATATTAGTGCTCTTTTCCTTTAAAAACTTCAACAGAATAAGTGCAATCTGAAAAAAAATTATATTAATCAATTCTCATCAACATCTACACTTACATATCTATTAAAAATTAAGTACAGATAACTAACACTAAAAAAAGGCTAATACAGTGGACCCCCACATAATGATATTATTTCAATCCAGAAGTCTGTTTGGGTGCCGTTATAGACTGAATTTGTTCCCATAAGAAATATTGTGATTTAGATTAGTCCGTTTCAGACCCCCAAAAATACACCTATGAAAGCACTTACAAAAATACACTTACATAATTGGCCGAGTTGGGAGCTGATCGTTATGCGGGGGTTCACTGTACTTACCATACCACGGGCGGGGATAGAACCCACGATCAGAGAGTCTCCAAAGCTAATACTTATCCAATGATCAAAAATATGTATAAGAGGCAATGAATTGTATTCTGCAATTTCACAAGCTTAGGAAAGAGTCTCAGAATTTTGGGCAGTGTAAAATCAAATTTATACTAAGTTGAAATTTCAAAACATAGTGCTAAGAAAAAACTGATTAAAAGCAATAAAAAATGGGATCAACAAAAATTTTAAACAATCAAGAATCAAATTATATTGTAGGTGACATTCATCTCAACCTACTTCACTGAATTTCATCATAGAATATAAAGACTACAGTTTTTCTGCCATATTTGCCTACACTTATACATATCTCTTGCTTAACTTTTTTTTTTCAAAAGGAATTATATAAGCCTATCTCAATAAAGTCTGGCCTTGGGCTGGGCTGTGAGGGTAGAACACCTTCGAAATTGGTCACAGGTAAGAGGAATAATTCTTTGTCAAAAGTTTCAAGTGCTCATTTTAAGGTTGTTAATACTTATAAGCCACAGAAATATTTGGGCATTCTACATGAAGTCTTTCACAGAAGAGATGTTGTACAATGTACAGTATTAAGAATACAACATCAAAGATATGTTAATAGGATACAATTTGCAGTTTATAGCATTTTACTTAGATGATGTTTCACCCACCAGAGACTTCATCAATTCTCACCCTGGTGGATGAAAAGTTTTCTCAATAAAATGCCATAAACCATATATTGTCTTACTAACATCTTTTTTTTTTTTTTTTAACATGCTGGCCATCTCCCACTGAGGCAGGGTGACCCCCTCCCCCCCCCCAAAAAAAAAAAAAAAAATCACCATCATTCACACCATCACTATCTTTGCAGAGGCATGCAGACATGACAGTTTGGATGTCACCCCAAACAGCAAGTATTCCATGGTCCACAGGCCCTCTCAGAGAATCTTTTCCCGATCATAATGACACCAAAAGTATGAAATTTGATGGAAAACTTTCGGAATTATGCTCTCGCGAAGATAGCGGTCTCGACGATGTTTACGCATCGGCAATTTTGCCCACTTTGAGCCCTATTTTCAGCCAATTCCAGTGCACTAGTCGACAAAAATCATACCTATTTTGCTAGAACTCCATTTTTTTCTATCAAATGAGTACAAGAAAACCCATTTACCGATTTCAACTATACAATACAGTGGTCAGAATTTAGCAATTTTGCCAATTTCACACAAATTTCAAAAGATGCCAATTTCCAAATAGGGTCCAGAATAAACAAGAAAGACATTCCTGGCACTAAAATAAAATTTCCTCTGTTCATTAGTCACGTCCCCAGGCCCCTCTTACATTCTTTTGCTTTCCATTTTGAATTTTTATTCTCACAAAAAATAGAAGATTTACTGTTATGCAGACTACTGCATTAGTGTAGAATTTTTTTTTTTTTCAACAAGTCAGTCGTCTCCCACCGAGGCAGGGTGACCCAAAAAAGAAAGAAAATTCCCAAAAAGAAAATACTTTCATCATCATTCAACACTTTCACCACACTCACACATCACTGTTTTTGCAGAGGTGCTCAGAATACAACAGTTTAGAAGCATATACATATAAAGATACACAACATATCCCTCCAAACTGCCAATATCCCAAACCCCTCCTTTAAAGTGCAGGCATTGTACTTCCCATCTCCAGGACTCAAGTGTAGAAATGATATAAATAATATCGGCGCACTTGTGAAAGAATATTAGACCCCCGGAACTCTCTTCAGGTAAACTCCAGGTAAACTCACCAGTTGACATGTATTGGACGCTTAGCATGATTTGTTTACTTTTGAACTTTGGTAAAAATCGAACAATTCTGCTACTTTGAGCTCAATTTCAAAGTATGTACTTTTCATTGTAAAACCAATCAAAATCATCTCAATTTCTGTAATATGCCTTCCATTCTGTCAAATGAGACCAGGAAAACTAGAATACAACAATAAATACCATACGAAAATACAGTGTAAAGTCGCTGTTTTAATCCAAAAACACGGTCAAAGTTTTTTTTTCTCATTACACACTGCAGGATTTTTTATACTATGCACACTGACCACATAGGCCCATTCTTTCATATGTAGGCCTACCAGCTTTCTCTCACTAGATTTGAAGGCGCTAGAATTTATGAGTACTAGTACATCAAGGACCCTGGCACGTAAGCCGTACTAGTACGGTCGAAACCCTGAAAGGGTTAATGTGCAGGCATTGTACTTCCCACCTCCATGACTCAAGTCCGGCTAACCGGTTTCCCTGAACCTCTTCACAAAATATTACCCTGCTCACACTCCAACAGCTCGTCAAATCCCAAAAACCATTCATCTCCACTCAATCCTGTCTAACACGCTCACACATGCCTGCTGTATGTCCAAGCCCCCTGGCACACAAAGCCTTTTTACCCCCTTCCTCCATCCTTTCCTAGGATGACCCGTACCCCTCCTTCCCGCCACTATAGATCTATACACCCTCCAAGTAGTAGTATTTTGCTCCATCCTCTCTAAATGACTAAATCAGAATATAATACCACTGACAGTATTAAACACAATGTTAAAAATGTAAATACCTACTGTATTTTATTTTCCTTTTAGTTCAAAATGGCATCACAGTTACTAATGAAGATACTAGTTAGTACTATTAAGTATATCAGCCCTCAATTTAAATGACTATTAGGGGGTGACAAGTGACAGGTAATGGCAATTGTGGTATACAGAGATGAGTGTTTTGCCATGACTGTAACAAAAACAGTCAATTCTTTAACCAATGCACTTTGTCCCATGATTTTGAATCAACTGACCCAGTGGATTTTGTTCTGTATTTTTAAAGTCCATTCAACCAAAATCTATTAAACAGAGGATTCTCTGTATATTAAAACCTTCCTCTCTCCAAAATAGGTAAAAGTAATTACTGTACATTAACTCCCAGTGTTGCTAATTCCATTTGCACATTATTACCAATATGCAACTTTCCAACTGGTCCAAACGTATATATATGTTTTTTTCAACATCTGAAAGTATGTAAACAAATGTAGATCTTTTTTGTTTTACATTTGAAAATGTGTAAAAAAAACTTTTATCTACATTTTTTTTGTTATATTTAAAAATATGTAAAAAAAAGTAGATCTACTTTTGTAGCAATAAGAATTTGAATGTCAATCTCTTTGGACTGTTTAAGGGTTAAAACATCTTAATGTTCAGAGAATCAAATTACATGATTAGGTTGTTTACAATTATGATACAGTATAGTACAGTGGACCCCCGGTTAACGAAATTTTTTCATTCCAGAAGTATGTTCAGGTGCCAGTACTGACCGAATTTGTTCCCATAAGGAATATTGTGAAGTAGATTAGTCCATTTCAGACCCCCAAACATACACGTACAAACGCACTTACATAATTGGTCGCATTGGGAGGTGATCGTCAAGCGGGGGTCCACTGTATTTGAGAAATTCCTTATACTAGTCGTATTTACAATAATTTCTGTAATTATTTAAAAAAGCCATACATGTTCATGATTCAGTATGTATTTCTGTAAATATCTAGGGAGCCATACATGTTCAGGGTGTAATATTTCTGTAATTATCTGATATTAGTAAGTCCTTAACCCTTTAAGCATGGGTTCCGTTGTTCTATGGCTTTGAAGCAGAGGTCAGTCCTGTAGTTCTACACCATGAGCTCAGCTCACCCAGATAAGCTGTGAGCAGTAAATCTGGACTCAGATATGAGAGACTGGGTCTATGCGGTAAGTACGCACCATATAAAAAAAAATCCTGCAGAACGCAGTGCATAATGGGGAAAAAACTCTAACCGTGTAAACTCCAGGTAAACTCCAGGTGTTCTTGGATTAAAACAGCGACTTTGCAATGTATTTTTATATGTTTTTTATGGTTGTATTCTTGGTTTCTTGGTATCAAGTGACATAATGGAAGATAGATTACAGAAATAGAGATGATTTTGATTGGTATCAGGACTCAAAGAAGCTTGAAATTAATCTCGAAGTAGCAGAAATGTTTGATTTTTGCCGATATTCCAGAATACGTACACAAATGACGTCACTCATCCAATACATGTCCATCTGTCCAGTCTAATACATTTTTAGGAATGTACAGACATTATTTATACAATTATTACAATAATTCACTAGTCTGCATAACAGTAAATTTTCTATTTTTTGTGTGAAAAAAATTATAAATGGAATTCATGTGTAATATTGGAGAGGCCTGGAGACGTAACTAATGAACAGAGGAAATGTTATTTTAGTGCCAGAAGTGTTTGCACTGTTTATTTTGGACCCTACCTTGAAACGACCATTTCTTGAATTTTGTGTGTAATTGGCCAAATTACCAATTTCTGATGACTTTATTGGGTAGTTGAATGGGCAGATTTTTGTACTCAATTGATAGAATGGAAGCCATACTAGTGAAACAGCTAACAATTTGGTCAAAAGGAATAATGTAACTGGCCTAAAATCAGACTAAAAGTGGGCAAAATCGCTGATGCATAAATATTGCTGATACAGCAAAATTCGCAAAAGCATAATTTCGTCAGTTTTCCATCAAATTTGGTATTTTTGTTTTATTACTTTCAGAAAAAGATTCTCTACCATTTCATAAGAATTTTTTTTAAATACTCTGACCCTCAGAGCAAGTTTGAGAGCAGGGGGTTCCAACCTTCAAAGGGTTAAAGCACAATGAATAATCCTAAATTTTAAAAAACCCTAATTAAAGAAAAAAAATAAACATTAAAAACCTGAGGTTCATATATACTTTTACCTAACTCAACAGAATAAGAAAACAAAATGGGAACACAACATGCTTAACATTAACAAATATAACAGATAAAGAGACATTTAATGGAGTGGCCAGACTTACAGCCTTGACAGATGGCAGAGGATGAACATAGTTATCCTGCATCAAGTGCATCTTAAGTTTCACGAGTACCTTTTCCACTAACTTCCGCTTTGACCTCTCATCAGCTACTTTAATCTCTTCCAGACTGGATGAAGCTGCTCTCACCACCTTCATGAATACATCATCTGTTTCTAAGTGAAAAATTGTGGTTAATGAGTTGACAGGTTATTGTATTTCAGAAATCTTAAAATCAAAGTTCTCACAGTTGAAATTTATTTACAGTAAATTAATTATTTGCACATGATCTTTCCTGTTTGTAAATATATAGAGCAATGTGGCTTTCACAAAACAGTTTGTACTTTGACAAAAAATTTGGTAACCTTTCAACTTTAAATAACTTTTAATATAAGTAAGTGTTTACATGACAGCTGCAAACCCTTCAGCATATATTTTGTCAGTAATAAGAGATACATTTTGTGCATATCTGTAATAGCATATTACTGTTGTGTCAATAATCAGGAGTGTACCTTAGTACAGCAACACTAAAGTTCATTTACCACTGGGTCTCACTCACACTTGAAAGGGATAAGTTGGGTAAAAAAAAAAATTCTCAAGAGGAAGAAACCACCTAAAAAGAGCAAATACACTTGCATTTCTTTATTTGTGATGTACCTAATTAAATGTTATTTTGGAATGAGAAACCAACATTTATGTATATGTGGGAAAGGAAAGGAGTGGACCATTTAAAAGTACGTACTGCACTGAGGGTCCATTCCAACCAGGTAAGTTGTTAGCAGTAAATTTTGGTCCAGATATGAGAGAATGGACCTGTGCAGTGAGTTTGCACAGTGTAAAAAAAAAATCTTGCCCAATTCAGTACATGATGGAAAAATCAAAACTCTGAGTCAGTGTGTATGGTTTAAAATAGCAGCTTTGAGGTGTTTTCTTGGATGGTTATACAGTGGACCCGCCTTACGATCAGCTCCCAACTTGTGGAGAAATTTTCTCCAGGAGGGGGTATCAGCCCCCTTCAGCCCCTTTCAGCCCTGAGGGGCCCAGCCCTTTCAGAAGGGGCAAATATCTTGTTTACTGCTACAGCGAGTAATTGATCCCAGATGCAGTACCAGTATGCGACGTGTGGTCAAGCGACCGCTGCTCCGTGCGGTCCAGTGTTGCAAAGTGTAGTTTAATAAGAGACAGTCCATCTCTTACCTTAGCAGGACAATTAAGGAAAATCCTGCTCCCACTTTATTATCATGGTAAAGATAGTGTATATTGTTGTCTATGCTTAAGACAGCAAGAATCAAGCATTCTGCTTTGGTTCATGGAGGAAGTGGCAAGGAAGCAAAAGTACTAGGTCAGCTTTTCTTTTGTGCTGGGGGCAGTGACGGCGTGGGGCGTTGTGGCATCTTCAGATTACTTTTGACTCTACTGAGAGTGACACTGATGCCAGGATAACCAACAAAGAGCGATCTGTGCGTTAGTGTGAACAAAGTGTCTCACAAAACAAAACACAATAAACACTTACAGAGAAGTGTGATCAGCTTCTTTAGTGATAAGATTGTGAACAATAAAAACAAATCTTGTGGAACATAGTGTACCAGTGTGTGTATTCCTAGAATATGGAAGATGTGGACATCCAAGGACACTTCAGCTTCTATCAAGTCACCGATATCTGTCGAAGGTGTGAAGAACACCATAGCTCACGCTACAAGAGCAAGGTAGGTTACGAATTTCTTGTAGTACGGGGGACTGCGCAGTTCTTGAGTTGCAAGGAGTTTGTAATCAACCTATAGTTGGCAGTAAGGAGCAGACTTTTGAGTCCAAACAAGTACGTAATTTGTCAGCAATCAGTGAATGAAATATGCTGACATAACACCCCCTAGGGGTAATTTATAATCTTACAAATTATAACTCATTTCAGCCCGTTGAGAGATGATCATGACAACAATTCAAGACCTCGTCTGCAGGGGCGGCTGTGTAGACAATCTGCTGTCTTTTATCAGCTAAGTGTTCCCTATATTTAAAATTATAAATTATATCTTAGTTGGTAATCCCATTTCTCAACACAACTCAAACAATTATTTAAGTGTATTTTTGTAAGTGCTTTTGTACATGTATTTTTGGGGGCCTGAAACGGACTCATCTAATTTACAATATTCCTTATGGGAACAAATTCGTTTGGTAACGGCACCCGTACAGACTTCTGGAATGAATTAATATCGTAAGTCGGGGGTCCACTGTATTTTAAATGCCTGTGTCAATAAGTCATCATATCTAGTATACTATTCATGAGATTACAGGTACTGTGTTGCTGCACATTTGTGAATTTATGCATGTACACTTTAGAATAGATAAAAAAAGTGATTCTGAGCATCTGTTGTAGTAGAATTTAGTGCCCATGATGTACAGGTATCATTCCTACAGAAAACTGCTATTTTTTTGCAAAATTAATACTGTACAGTACTTCCTCATGCAATAATTATAAACAGATAACTCACCAGTGAATTCAGTTTGGTTCAATACAGTCTCCAGTTCTTGCATCTTTTCCATGTAAGGATAGTGCTGATAGATGTCTTTACCTTCTTTAAGAGCCTCAACTTTCTTTTTATAAATCTTTTTAAGCAAATGGTAGTACTGCCGACATTCTTTGGTAGTGTACCTGTATAATATAACCATTTAAGGAAAAGCCTGACCTCTCTTATAATTTGTTATTTGTACTATAAACTGTA